GGGAGAAGGCAGGCGAACGATGTTCGAAACGAAAGAGACAGAGGAACAGTGACGGCTATGCCGAGGCGTAAACTTATCCAGTACGATATTTAAAGGGGAACTTCTGTACGATCAAATATTATGACTAAATATAAACGGCACGCTGCATATGTACTCTAGATATCTAATTATGCGAACTACCTATGTACGCGACGCGTGTGCGTAAATTGAATTTTAGAGTGTACGAGTATTAACCCTACGTTGGCTGCCATTGGGTCATCGATGACCCAAGCGAAATTTCACTCTTGTGTCTCTTCGAGAAGAATTTTTGTTTTTACGGAAAGAAGTTTGAAACATTCGACTTGACGAATAATTGTATAATTTAGTAGAGATTTTGATGGGTATCGCAGAATTTTTTCGAATTTCTTTAAAACTTCGAACGGTGTAAAAATACGGAGGAGTTGAGTAATTGTTTTCTATTGTAACTCAAGCCATCGTTACGATGCTTTCGCGCAGTATTTTGTTTCTAGCTTGACCTCGGTGGACGCGCTTTTTCGCGCGAATTTTTGAAAGTCTAACCTAGCCTCGTGTGGGGAACCAAATGTTCACGTTTGTTTCATGTCTCGATATTTAAAATTTATTGCATACATTTCTATTTTACGAACATAGTCCAAGAAGTAGGGATTTGGGGCGGTTTTGCGATACTTTTACAAAACCATAAAAAATTGTTTAAAGAAAATATATATAAATGGGTGTGTACTCGGTTGCCCACGAAGGGGGTTAATGTCAGAAAATTTCCTGAATTTTTGTTCACTGTTGAAAAGAAGAAATATTGGTAAAATATCGATCGTTAATGCCGATAATATAATTAACAAATATGTTATCCATCTTATTAACGATCGTTCAGTATGCAATAATCAGAGATGAATTTAAACGAAAATACCCCTTTAATACGTATCGAACATTAATATCATACTGGATGCAGATAAAATCATTGCAGGTTCTATTACCTGAGTCCACGCGAGGGACCACCTCTCACGTTACTTGTTAGCCCTTGCAGCGGCCCGATATCATGGACTGTCAGTTACGTCGAACCACCGGAAAACAGCAAAAAAACAGAAGGAACAAAATGTATGGAAAACTGTTGGAATCATCGTTTCCTATACGAGTAAAATATGTTAAAGTTATTTAGTGGCAATATCAAATGAATCTTATTTGCTTAAAGCTTGCGATTGATTAATCAGGTACATCAAACGAGCTGGCTATCCAGTAAAGAAAGATTTTCTGTAATTTAACAAAGTCTAACATTCCACAACTTCATTTTATATCAATTACTATATTTTCTTTTTAAAGACAATTATTTATTTTTTTTTTTTTTTATACTACGTATAAAAGTATAAAATATTTTTCATGTGTATGTTTGACAAATAAAAACAAATCTTTTCGTACGATATAATCGTTCAACTTAAGCTTATCTAATACTTAAGCATATCAGTGAGAAATTCTTCGAGGAAATAATTTCAATAATTTTCTAAATGTGAACAATCATATTTTCAGTAGAATAACAATTACCTTAATTAATTTCTTTCACAAAACAGACATTCGGAGGAGTAGATTTTACAACTTAAATCACGCAAAATTTTTCTTTACTGTGTTCTCTTTTTTGCTTGAAAGCAAATTTTCGTTTTAATTGTAAAACAATCTTGAATAATATTTATTCAAAGCATCTTTCGGTAAATTGTTAACAGTATTTTTAATAGCATTTAATATAATTAATTAATCGTTCAATTTCTGCGGCAAATAATTTTTCACCGGAACATCTAACATCCTTTGTTACATTTCGTATTTTACTAACCTTATATTAATCATGCAAATTGTCTATAAAAAGAAGGCATAAGTGATGGTTGTAATTTCAATAAAAAATCGTACGTTAGGATAATAACTGTGATAGAATAAAGTATTACAAACGATGTAGCAGTGCAAACACGATGGCCAGTGAAGAGTTTGAAGCCGGGGTCACCCCTTTTCACCTACGAGGGCGCGGAGGATCAGAATTTTACGATATCGAAGACGCGCGCTGGTCTCTATTGGTTCGAAATTAAATCTGTGGATCCTTCTGATGCCAATTTGCAAAAATTCACACCAACCACGGTGCTTCTATACGCCACGTCTAGTAACCTGGGCCACATCCCGGTGATGTATGCAAACGAGAAGGAAAATCATCACCGTTCCTTAAGATTTCAACAAAGAAGAAGCAAACGTCGACTTACTATATCGTGGAACAAAAGGTACGCTAATATTTTAAATGATTTTAATAATTTTAAATTTAATT